TTTAGGGCTTGGGGTTTATAGGGTTTAGGGTTCAGGATTCATAGGGTTTAGGGTTTAAGGTTTAGGGATGCTTGGGATTTTTGCTGTTTTTGGGATCTGAGGGTCCTCATAGTCTTTTGCGACCTGGCTTTTGAGGGTGGAGGGTTTTGAGGCTTTATGAGGCTTTGATAAAATATAAACCTTTATGTACGGGTCTCCGTAATTAGGGGTTTAAGATTTCGGGGCTTAGGCTTAGGGCTCTGGAAGAACGACGTCTATTAGTGATGCTAATGATTTGAACGTGTACACAAACAATGAGACAAGCTTTCATCATGGTACTGACCAGTAGCAACACTGGAGTAATATGAGTAATAGTTGTAGCATCCAGGCGCACTAGCTTTGATTCAACCAATGTTCAGGCCTGAGGTACGTCCCGACGAACAGAACCTACACAACTGCATGTAACATGATAACTTGGGTGGACCACGTGTGTGGTTCCTTCTACAAGCAAATCGGGTTCCAAGGATTCACATGCAAAAACGTATGGAATCCCGGATGGATAAGGGTAGTTCTCTAAAACTAGGGCCCCTTTTTTAGATCCCGAATAAAGTACGGCACCTTAATAAAAAAGGACCCCAAAAGGAGCCCTAGTTAAGAGAACTACACATAAGCTGATGCCACAACCTGGGGCTCTTGGTAGCATCGAACTCCTCACTGACCCAAGCTAGCCCGTGAGCCCGACTAGGGCTCTTATGGGACATTGCGTACTATGGTTGATGATATAAATCCTTAGCATTACCTTATGAGGATGCTAAGCTATGGGAATTATGGGTATCTTCCGTAGTATGGGTCATGCAGGATTTATACCATCAACCCTACCATGCTCACCTCCTTGCTGCCACTGTAGTAGCGGGGAATGTATTCCTTGCTGCTGCGACCATGTTGTTTAATACAGTCATGTCTGTCCTCGCGCTATTGTCACATCATGAATCATGGGTTGGTCTGACACACTACTCTGGCCCCGACTAGCGGCTCTTCTGCCTAAACCCTCCACCCCCAGACCCCCAACCGTCCAAGCTCGAAACTGCGGACGCCTGACATCTCCTGCGTCTGGGCGCTGAGGAGGTTATGGTCAAAGTCGGCGAGTTCTGCAAGTCGCCTGTGCTAAAAGTGCTGGGTGGGACGGTTTAGGCCTTGTGGCTTCAAATGTTTTAGGGCTTAGAGTTGAGGCTTTGGCGAGTAGCCTTATCAGCTCCATAAGCCCCAGCCCCTCAGTCCCAACTAGGGTGTGTTTAACCCCATACTGAGCATAAACCCGAAGAGCCCCTACGGTTGATGATATAAATCCTGCATCACCCATAATAAGGAAAATACGATCATTCCCATAGTTTAGGGTCCTTAAGGTAATGCTACGGATTTACATCATCAACAGTAGTTAAGCAGGGTGTTGAGGTCCGGCAGGGGAGGTTTGGCTTCAGGCGTTGCTGCGTAAGCATCCCCCTAGCACCAAGGCCTCAGGAGTTTGCTCCGGCTGAGGAGACGATTCAGGTTTCAGCGCTTGGGCTGTCGGCATTGAAAGTAAGTGTTTTTTATTATGAGGTGTTATTCTTATTCTTATTTCCTAGTCTTACTATGCGTTTTGAGGTTCAGGGGAATACCCTCAAGCATCTCAAGCCCTAAACGGTGCAGGACAGCCTCTGCGTGTCGTCGACTGGCTGACTTACCTGACGAACGAGGGCACAGGCGGGTACAGCAAAACTCGTAGAGCGGCCATCGCTGCGTGCAGACGTGGGTCGGGAATGAATGCGTTCGCGCCTTTTGCTGCCGAGGCTGGCCGCACTGATTTTGCAAAACTGCGCTTGACAGTCTCTCCGCGCCTGCTTTTGAAACCTGCCTCTGTGGGACCGGATGGCTTTAATTTACCTTGCTTGGACGACTGGACTTCGGCTCTGGTTTTGTTCGGCGCAATACCTTTCGTCTGATTTGGATCGACTTGCTGCATCTTGCCCCGTGCTGCTTGCTCTCGCTTCTCGGAGAATACGTTTTGGCATTCCAAAGATAACCACACATTCCGCAAAGTTTCCTGCTTCCGCGTCGTGCCACAGAAGTGGAGCTCAACAGCAAGCAGCAACAGCGGAAGGTTTGGATCTGAGCCCAGGGCGGGCACCTGTGCCGTGTGTGGCTCAAAGCGTGGCGGCAAGCCACTCCTCCCAACACCACACTCCGGATGGATGGTAGGACTTCAGGTATGTCAGGTATGTTAGGGGCTTTTGGTTCAACGGCTTTCAGGTTTAATTACCAACTTTCGGCTTTAAAGCTTTCAGCCTCCTCTACATGATATTGTAGCAGAGGCTCGGAGCGCAGGACTTTAAGGAGGTCTATAGCGAAACATTGGATCTGATGCTGCTGTCAACCACAGCGAATGGGGGACTGCTACGCGGGCAGCAGCTTCACCCGAGATCCAACACAGGCCGCACTCACAATCGAAGCACCCGAAACCGTTGCTCATGAACCCGCACCCCTGCTCGAGACAGCACCTGCAACTTCACAGCACGCTGCCTGCCTTTGAAACCCACCACCATGCCATGCCGCAGGAGCTGTTCCTGCACGTCGACTGTCACAGTCACATCTAATCTAACTTAGATCATCTAACTTCCAATCCTGTGTTCGATGTACAGCGCCGCATTCTTCCGCAACGAGTCAAGTGTGTACAACACGCTTGTATAATGTTGTATAATCGTAAGTGACCCCAGCTGTTCTGCACTCAGGAACCTAAAACAGCAACAAGCTTAGCGGCTTAGCGATGCAGACCCCTAAACCCTAAACCCCCAAACCCTAACCCCTAAACCACTCAGCAACCTCTCTGGGATGAGCCGATGGCTTTCACGAAGAAGTTGGGGTCGAGGGAAGGTAGTATAGCGTGGGGTTGGTCAGGGTTTAGGGTTTGGGGCTTAGGGTTTCTTTCGTGTAGGGCCTTGAGATTTTTTTGGGGGTTTTGGGGAATTGGGCTATACTTACAATAAGGAACTCCCAAAATAGTATAGGTAATTATTAGGTAATTATTTAGGCTTCTACATCAGGCTGCTAGGGGCATATAGGGGCCTTAGTAGTGAGAAGAAGGGTCCTTTCAAAGGGATCAAGAATGGTCCTTTCAAAGGGATCATAAGGGATACTATACGGGTCTAGTATAGGGGCCTTAGTACTTAGAATAAGGTGTTGGGGTCTAGTATACTACAAAGTAGCTATTTAAGTTTTGGCCCGTATATAACCCTAAACCCTAAACCCTAAATACTCCCAAACCTCTATATTAATTAGTTTTGTGGGGCATGTTCCTCCCATCGAAACTCCCCGACCAGCAGCCGGCTCAGGCGCAAAGCTTCCGAACCAGGGGACTTGGGAGAGCGGATAGGGTGTAGGGTTTGGAGTTTGGGGCGTATAAGGTTTAGGGTTTGGGGTTTAGGAGCGACCGGCGGGCAGTATAGGGGCCTTAGTAATTAAAATGTGAGGGTCTTTTCAATGGGATCACACATGTTATAAGGCTATCAGGGTTTAGCATACCCAGTGCATAGGACGGGAAGAAGCCACGATAAAAGCAGTGCCGACAATCATGAGCCGTAAGCTGCCCAAACTAAACAACGAACAGCAAAGCATACTCGCAGAGTTGCCCCTGAACCCATGCAGTAGCCAGGGGATCTTGAGCCCAACTTACAAAACCTAAGCCCAAACCCTAAACCC